GCTGCTTATGAAGTTCGTTGACAGTATTCTATGTAATACTCAAATTCTTAACAACCTACTGTTGCTTTATGATATTTTACTAAAACTAAAAGAAACTTAAGTTTTGCAAACAGTGAAATGTTAAATTAAAATTGCATTCATTCATGTAGCACTGAAAAAAATTTATGAATTACGTCTTTGTCAAAACTGTAATAACTGATTTGGAAAAATATTAGAGAACAGACTTAAGCAAAAAACTGACCATTTTTTTAGAAGCTAAAGTAAGACTGACATATATCACCAAATATGCCTTTAAAAAATTACAAAATAGATGTTTAGTCATTTATAAATAAAGTAACTTTTGCATAACTTTACCTTTTAGCATCTTCCAAAAATTAAGTTCAATGCAGAGGTAAAAGCAGCAAAAAAAAACATAATACTCTTGTAGTCAATCTGTAAATCTGTTTCTATTTCAAAACTAAACCTATAAAATTTTTTTGAAATAAAAAGTTCTTACATTAATTTGTACGTTTACAATTATCATTTTAAATAGTATTAAACTCGAATAACACTTTTTTTGGAGTTTCAAAAAATTTCAATTTCGGAGGAATACGTGTAAAGGTTACACTCCACCTTGTCTCTTTAGCATTTGCAATTTTAAAAATCTTTTGAAGTATCAATTACTTCAAAACAGTAAAAATTGCTACTTTACAATAATTGAAACAAATAAAGCAAAAAATATAAAAAAATAATATTTTTTTGTTAAGCTTCGAATATGCAAACAGCTGACTTTTTTTTTTTGGTCTTGGTCAACTTTCGCTATAAAGAATCTTTTTCCTCTACTTGGTGATATCATATTTTGACAGCAGAAAGATTTTTAAATTAAATTTCCTAAAAAAACTAATTTATTTGTAGTCATCTGAAATGGTAATACGTAGAAAAAAATGAAAAAATATTGATAGAACGAACTTAGAAATAAGAATTGACGAATAAACTGGGTGAACAAAACCATGCATTCTTAATCCCAATATATTCTTGCCCATCGTTTAGAAGTATAAAGACAGAAGACAGTAAGTAAAACGAGTAACCTAGAAAGCTGACAAAAAATAGGAAGAGCAATGCTTTTTCAATCTATTAGCTATAGATAGCGCAAAA